CGGGGTATGAAAATAAATCAAATACTAAATGAAAAATCATTTAGAGAATGGGCTAGAAAAACTCTTTTGGTATTAGTTATTGAAGGTGTTTTTCTAGTTCATTTCCTATTTATCATTTAATATAATCGGGTATTGGATAATTAAATGCAAAGATTTCTAATTTTATGATATTTATCGATTCTGTTCAAATTTCTTGATTCTAAAATATTATGTTAATTAGATTCATTAAAAGATAAATTAAGAGCCTTTTGTTGATTGATATGATGTAACTTAACAATTGCATAAAGGCATAATTTAATATACTAACTAGTGTTTATAAAAGGAGCATCTCTATGTTTATTTGAACTTTCTTATCTTCTCTGCTCATAAGATATTGTTGTATAATGATGTCTAACCAATCTGTTAAAAAAGCACGTATAGCAGTTAGCGATAGCCTAAAATGCGATATTTGTAAATACTATATAAAAAATCCTAATAAAACTCAAATTCAAATCACTAAACACTTTAATGCCCAAAATCTCAAACTGAATCTTGAGTGTTCAACTATCTTTAAAATTCTCAAAGAACAAGATAAATAGTTGGCTATTGTTAAGAATCAAATAACTTCAGAAACTTTTTGTTATAAAAAAGTAAAATTTCCATTGTTAGACCAAGCTATGAGGCTATGGGTTGAGCAGGTTATTAGTAAGAGATTGTTTTTGACCGAAGCAATCATTAAAGAAAAAGCTGCTTATTTTGTTAAAGCTCTTTTATTACCTGATAATGAGTTAAAATTTTCAAATAGTTGGATTAGGCAATTTAAAAAATGAAATAGTTTGCAAAATTTTCAATTGTATAGTGAAGCCAGCAATGTTTCAACCAATGAACTTCCAGAATTCTGATGAAATTTGCAAAATGTTATTTAAAGATATACATTAAAAGATGTATTTAATGCTAACAAAATATAATTATTTTTTCGTATAGCACCAAATCAAACGTTGGCATCTCGATCTTGTCCAGGATTGAAAAAAGAAAGTAGTTTGTTATTTTATTGTTTATTTAAATCTGATAATTTATAAAAATAAATAAATATGTAAATATGAAGATAAATAAATAAAAAGTTTAGACTATTAATATTTAATAATCTAATTAAATTTAACAACTTTAGGATTGTACTCGTATCTCTATTCTTTTAGCATGCAATACAACTGGTACCAAAAAGATAATGCCTCTTGTAATAGGATCTTTAATTGAACCATGTGTATTGTCTGGTATAAATCATGCTACACTACCAGTAACATACCGTGCTAATTTAAAGGCATGGATAAGAAGTGAAATATTTGGTGAATGGTTAAAAGAACTTGACCAAAAATTTCGCATTGAAAATCGAAAAGTTTTACTTTTACTTGATAATACATCAAGTCATTTTGATCCAAATTTTAATGAAAAACCTAGCTGTGGTGATTCTGAAGAAATATATTTTACTGGATCAAATAACAACAGAAGCAGTCGCAGTTGCAGTTGTAGTTACAGTCGTGGTCACAGTTATGGTCGCAGTAGTGGTCGCAGTCATGGTCATTATCGTAGTCACCCAAAAGCAGATAATATTACCCAAAATGACCAACAAAGTTGTACTATTTAACATAGCAAAGGCAAACGTGGTAGAAGTTAATTTAGTGTTTATACACTTTCTGACTTATCTAACTATAAGCCAACAAATATTCAAGTTAAATTTTTGCCAGCTAATACTATCTCGCATCTTCAACCTATAGATGCGGAGATTATTAAATGCTTTAAGGCAAAATATCAAAAAAGATATATTCAACATATTCTGAATTAGTTCGAAAGTGGACTAGATATTCAAAATTCTGAGTAAATTTACTGTTTAATTAAAATTAAATATTAGGGTTTTAGTACTAAGATTTAGACTTCTGATTTTGAATTAAATTTGTAATGCATTTATTTTGAAATTAGTAATCTATAATTATAAAATATTAGTTAAGTGATGATAAATATCATAAATTTTTTTTGTCAGAGCAAGTGGTTGATTAAAATGTGCTGCTATGTAGCATATTTTAGCTAAATATTTATTCTGACAAAAGATTTTTATGTTATTTATCATTACTTAACTAATATTAATATTATCATGCAATTATATCGATTTACAAGTCATTATTAGCTAACTGAGTATACTTTTACAATTGTAAATATTTTTAAATTCTATTACTAATCATCAAAAAATAGATTTTTATTTTACCTTTAGATAACTTTAAATCAAAAATACAACATTTCAATTTCTCACTTACTTTCAAAATAAATTAATTCTGAAACCCTCTACTATATTAGAGTGCCCAAACTTAAGTATTTTGGAAATTTATTATTGTTCAAGTAACAAAAATTGCCAAAATTATACAAGTCTGGACACTATATGGGATTCCACCAACTCATTGACACTCACTTCATAGACATCATATTTTTACTAACAATTACTTATCGACAAGTTTATTTCATCAATAGTTTATTTGACCAAAGCTTATTTTACAACCAAAGTAATTATGGTCAATATTATTGGTATTGGGTAAGAACTAGAGTTAAAGTTAGTATAATTTGTAAAAAAAAAAACTTGTTGGTAAAATGAACTTTGGTGAAATAGACTGTCGGTAAAATGAACTTGTCAATGAATAATTGTCTGTAAATGTGGTGTCTATGAAGTGATTGTTGGTGAAGCAATGCAGACCCCTCTATTTTGCATAATCTTTAAAGATTAATTTATTTTTATTAGAAATAAATTGACCATTAAAGATGCTATTGATTATGTGGCAGCTTCGTGAAATGAAGTTGATAAGTCAACAATGGCAAATTGTTGGACAAAGACTAGTATTTTGCCAATGGTACTGGATGATAATATTGAACTTTCGCATAATATATATTTAGAAACGATTGAGTCTGAAGAAAATGAAATATATGAATTAGTAATTGATCTTACTAATCAAACAGTTTCACAAGAAATAGATGCTTATATCAAGATTAATGATTCCTATATTTCTACAAAAGAAGTACTTGATAATAATCAAATTATTGAAACTATATTAGCGAAGCAATTAGAATATGAGCAAGGTGATCCAGATAACTCTGACGAAGAGCCACCAAAAATTTCTCTTGCTGAAGGATTAAATAGGTTAAAAACTTTTATTTTATTCGCTAAACAAGTGGACAATAATTTTTTCTCCAATAATAATGACTTAGCAGTATTTTGAAAATATATACCATTAGTAAAAAGAAAAATTACAGAGTCTATGAAGCAGAAATCTATTAAAGGTTTTTTTAAAAGCGATCAAACTATGTCTTTTAATGATGAATATTCTCTTCCTGATGATGACAATAACTCTTCTGACAATAACTTCCCTAATGATGACTTCCCTGATAATGACTTTCCTGATAATAACTTCTCTGATAATGACTTCCTTGATAATGACTTTCCTAATGATGACTTTTCTAATTATGACTTCTTTAACGATGACTTCTCTAATGATGACTTTCCTGATAATGACTTTTCTAGTGATAACTTTCTTAATAACTTTCTTAGCAATTATGATAACTTTCCTAATGATGACTTGTGATAATGATTTTTTTATTATGTATATTGTAAAAGTCGAATTTGGTGTAGCATAACCCAAACTTGGGCTGTGCAAATATTTTTTTTCTTTTTTTTATCCTATTTTTTTTTATTTTCGTATATTCTATTATGTATCCTTTCTATTTTTAGTTATCCTAGTTTGAATTTCCAATTATGGTTGAAATCAACTCCATAGAGTCCATGGACTCCATAGAATCAATAGAATCTATTTTGTCAAATTTTAGTCTATAAAAATGTATTATATAAAAAGCCTTTGGCTCGTTTGAAATAAAGATAGCCCATTAAAGTTTTAAACTTTGAAATCATCATAGTATAAGTTGTTCCTTTACCAATTGTTCTTTTTGACCCCAAAATCGCTCCAATAAACCCAAGTTCTGTCCCAATAGTAGTAATTTAGAAGTAGTGTCGTTCAATAAAACAAGTAGTGAAAGTAAAAAGATCTTATTTAAAATACCTGACCTTATTTAAATACTAATCATTCTCGTGATACATTGTTATTATAACAATCAAACTATTACATATTAATTGCTTCGATCAGCCAAATTACCTGTGATATCAGAATTTTGTAATGTTGATCATATTTTGAAAACTTTATCTTTTCTCATAACGTAAATCTGGTGATCTCAGATCCAAATCAAATATTAAACTTTCAATCGATGTAGATAATCATGACTACGTAATACATAACATCAAAAGATTGAAATAGAAGAATTGGAGTTAGTATTGATAATATTAGTCACAATAGAGATATATTATAAGCCAAATAATTAGAAAACTTATCTAAACCCGGCAACATCACCATAAGGCCCCAAAAAGCTCTAGAACTCAGATCAAGTCTTTCTATTCCTCTCTTCGAAGCCTACTACTTAAAAGCTTTGGATTGTTTAGACTTGTGTAATAGCTAGATAGTTAGTTTTGTGCATATTTTGGTAGTTAGCACCTTCTCAACATTCTCCTGATAACTATAACAGTTCTACCAATATTTATGAAAATGAAAGAAACTAGCTTCAGATTCTTGGTCAGATCTATAATATCTCTGACACAGTATATATCAGCAATCTAGAAAAATAGTAAAAGCTTTGTCGAAGCTAATGATATCTAATGTATGAATAGTTTTGACTAGACAAAAGCAACTTCAATTTGACAAATAAAGAATAATGAAACATAAATTTGATATACAAATGTAAGAAAAGTTTTGAAAAAGTGATTTATCTTTTAGATAGCATTGAAAACTAGTTAATGAAAATTAATTAACCATGCAATCTTAATTTTTTTTTGGTTATATCTATTTTTTTTTGACATCTTTATCTGAAATTATCTGATAATTTACATTACTTACCCAGAGATTTTTAATCAAAAAATATTGATAAAACTTTATAAGAAATAACTAAAATTTTTATAAAAATTTAAGATTCAGAATATCCAGATGTGTTATAAAGGGGTCTGTATTGTTTTATCAACAATCACTTCATAGATACTACATTTCATAGACAATTATTTATTGACAAGTTCATTTTACTGACAGTCTATTTCACCAAAGTTCATTTCACTAACAAGTTTTTTTTTTTACAAATTATATTAACTTTAACTCTAGTTCTAATCTAACTCTAATGATATTGACTAGATTACTTTGTAAAATGAGCTTCGGTCAAATAAACTGTCAGTGAAATGAACTTGTTGGTAAGTAATTGTTAGTGAAATGTAATGTCTATAAAGTAATTAAATTAATTTTGTCAAGAAATTCATCAATTGTCTGTCAAGATTTTATCAGATGAAACCATATATGAAACCATTTCATCTATGCAAAAATACTTTTGTCAGGCATCATTAGTTGAAGCTAGAAATAGGAAAAATGAGCATTTTATAATAACATGCGCATGAATGCACATTAATACACACATTATATAAAATACGCATGATATTACATGATATAATTTTTTTTGTTTTATATTTCCCCTCTGGAAAATATCAGATATTTGCCAAAAATTTTTCTCAACACTTTTCATTTTTATGTTCATTCATTTTCTTTTTGGAATTTTTCAAAACATCTGCATTTCTATTTTTTAATTTTGCCTGGCATTATACACCTTGGCTTAAATTAAATATACTTTAATTTTCTTATACAAAATTAGATGGGATAAAATATGCATGATTCTGAATTATGCATATTAATGCGCACAATTGGGGAATCATGTGCATACATAAAACCCATCTCTAGTCGAAGCCATAAAACCTGTGAAATGCTTATTAAAAATAACAAGAAACGCATTAGAAAATACAGTGAGTATGCAAAATATAATAAATTTTATGTATTAAAATATTAGCATAGAATTTAGCATAGGTAGTTCTATAGAAGTTAGTGTAAATTTTAATGTAGTAGATGTATTCTTGTAAATTAAGAATTACTAAAAAACTATTATGATAGTTAATATATTTGTTTTAATGTAATTATATAGAATTAAATTATTATATATATATATTTTATTTATACTATATTTGTGTGATAATGATTATAAGCAAATTGTAATTATATATAGGTATTTTATAAATAAAAAAAATTGGATTAAAAATTTATATGATTATATAAAGGTTGTGATTGTATAGGAGGTAATTATAGAGGAGGAAGACAGTAGAATTAAAATAAAAAAAATCTATCAAATTTACTTAGATGGTTGTCTTAATATCTCCGTTTAAAGTTTAAAACATCTATAAAATAGAAGTAAAAATAAAGTTTTTTAGACTTTTTAGCAAAAATATCTCTGTAACTACTTAAGCAAATTCTATGAACTTTTTTTTTATTTAATTTTACAGAATTAAAATAAAAAAAATTCATCAAATTTACTTAGATGATTGCCTTGATAGCTTCATTCAAAGTTTAAAACGCCTATAAAATAGAAGTGATGACAAAGTTTTTTAAACCTTTCAATGAAAATTCTCTGCAACTACTCAAGCAAATTCTATGAACTTTTTTTATTTTAATTCTACAGAATTGCAGAATTAAAATAAAATAAAATTTATCAAATTTACTTAGATGGTTGCTTTGATATCTTCGTTCAAAGTTTAAAACACCTATAAAATAGAGCAAAGATAAAGTTTTTTAGATCTTTTAGCAAAAATATCTCTGCAACTACTTAAGCAAATTCTATGAATTTTTTTTAATTTAATTTTACAGAATTATAGAATTAAAATAAAAAAAAATCTATTAGATTTACTTAGATGGTTGTGTTAATATCTTCGTTCAAAGTTTAAAACACCTATAAAATAGAAGTAAAGATAAAGTTTTTTAGACCTTTCAGCGAAAATATTTCTGCAACTACTTAAGCAAATTTTATTTATTTAATTTTACAGAATTATAAAATTAAAATAAAAAAAAATCATCAAATTTATTTAGATGGTTGTCTTGATAACTTTGTTCAAAGTTTAAAATGCCTATGAAATAGAAGCGAAGATAAAATTTTTAAAACTTTCAAAGAGGATATCTTTGCAATCACTTAAGCAAATTCTATGAACTTTTTTTTTATTTTAATTCTACAGAATTGTAGAATTAAAATAAAAAAAATTCATCGAATTTATTAAGATGGCTGCCTTGATATCTTCACTTAAAGTTTAGTAAGAATTAAAATAGAAGCAAAGATAAAATTTCTAAAACTTTCAACAATTATTTTTTTTTTTTTTGGTATTAAGGTGAGGTCTTGCTTATATCTTTATTGAGTAATTTATATAAATAATTATATAGAAGCTATATAAAAACTAAATTTGTATAATAACAAGTATTTATAAATTACATGCAAGAATGGGAGTTCAGACTAAAAGCTAAAGCTAATTATCTGTAATCTAAACCTACTAGAGTGGTTAAGACTCATCTAGATTTTAATAGTAAGTATATAGTTTGTAGAAGTACTATATTGTATCCATGCTATTGACCATTGGTTATATTTTTGTATCGCTTGTCCTTCAGACGAGCAGTTGTTGTTGTCATCATGCTATTGGTTTGGTAGGCCACATGGGCAACTATATATAAATCTTTTCTATAGTCTTTTGCTTTGACCTTGTGTTTGTTTGTATGTAGTTTGTTTGTCTTGGTTAGGGTTCGTATATTGTTTTGCTTTTTCCAATTTGCAAATCTTTCACAATATGGCTTCCAGATTTGCTTGTAAATTTTTGCAGATATATATAGTAATGTTTGGATTATAATGTCTGCTGCCTCTTTGTGTTGAATATTTACTGCTTGTAGTGTTTGTAGCAAGTAGGATGAAATAAGTCCTTTTATAGTAATAGATAGTGTGTGTATTTGTGGGTTGGAAGAAAGAATGTTGTTGAAAGAAGTGTGAGATTCGATAAGACTTATGATTGTCCTCTGCTATATTGGTGTTTGGTCGCTACAATGTTTAGTAATTATTTTTGAGATTTAAGAGTGAATAATTTGGCTGATTATTTGTTGGTTGTAGCATGTAAGCCAGTGGCTAGGTGAGTTTGTAATATTGCATGCAAAACAGGTGTTAGCTAAAAAGATTTTAGGTATAATTGTGTGGAAGTGATAGTAAGTCAGCAATTTATTAAGCAGGTTTTTAACTCTGAATGCTTTTATCTGGTTTAGCTTAGGAGATGTAATATTAGATATAACTTTTAGATTAGCATTAAGGTAGAGCCAAGTTGAGCTCTAGTCGATTGTTTGGGTGTGACTCTCCTATTCAGTATTGTGTTTTTGTGAGAACCATCTTGCTATTGTATATACTTTGCTAGTGTTTTTGACTAGTTGTCTTGTGGGTTTTTCAATGAAGTGCCCTTTCTACTGGATAATAAAATTTGGGTTGTGTATGTTGGTATAATTAAATTGAAGGATATGAGTTGTTGGTTCTTGGTGCTTTTTTGCCAAGAAGTTAGCTATATTGTTGAATGAGTTGTTTGCATGTGCTTGGACTTTGTAGAGAAGAAGCTGGATATTAAAAGCCTTGATAGCATTAAGGAGTGTGTGCCATATAAGCCAGTAGTCGAATTTAAAGTACTTAGAGGATTTGGTGAAAGTATACAAAAGTTTATAATATTTGGATATGATTGATTGGGAGTCTGTATATATATCAACTTTGGCATTACAAGGTACTATAGAAATGGCAGACAAGATTGCAACAAGCTCAGCTTTGTAAGAGGAGAGCCAATTAGAGATTTTGGCTAAGAAACAGTTGATAATTTGATCATTGTATAGTTGCACCCAGCCTATTCCCATTGAATAGTTACTAGTGCCTATATCAGATACCAAGCTATCTGTGTAGAAAGTAAATGTTTGTATATTATAGTTGCTAAAAGAGTATTGTGTTAGTCTTTGGCAGACTTCCCTAGTATTGAAGAGAACTGGAGCTAAGGAGTCTATGATATTGATATTAGGTGGAGGTGAGATAGTAATAGGGTGTTTGATTGCTGTAGAGTATATTAAATTGATATAGTTGGCATT